CCCCCCCCCCCCCCCCCCCCCGCCTGTCGTATATCTTGTTTTCAAAATGTCAGCGATCTACCACGTCCTTGCATTCGCAATGCGTTTCACAGGAAGACGTGGACGCCTTGCTGGCTCTAGCCGATCTTGACCGGGATGGCTACATATGCTTCGACGAATTCTGTAGGATTCTGCTGTGGGAGGATGGGTGTAAGGATACCAACGGCAACACCGATCCAACTGGGCCCACCGAGCCCAAGTAGCGTCTTCAACCGATACGGGAACCGCCTATCTGATGTAATTCATTCAAGCCTAACCCGTCCGGTGTCATGTAGGCAACGGCATAAAGGTTTGGGTTTGGGTTCACTCGCGTGGCAGGAATGTTCATCTACATCCTTCGGCGGGCGCAGTTGTGGACCTTGTGTTGCGACCTGTGGTAGAGCAGGTTGTTTTGACAAAATATCAGGCCGGGGGTTGTCCGGCCTCGAGTTCTGAAGCCCGTCTTGTATTCTTTTCACGCGACGATACGTTCCACCATTTGAACAGTCCCGGGTTTTGGTCGCGTTGTCCTAACCGATGTAAATCAAGACCATTTAGTTTTCTCTCCATCCGTCATTTGAGGTGAACCATAAATAGATGTGGTGGTGGGTGCTGCTGTGCTTTATGAAATGATAGCCCGGCCTCATCCAAAGCCCTTTCCTTTTTCTCCAGGCAGGTTTTGTTATGTATGTGTGGGGTCGAGCATTATAGTAGGAGTCTTGGTCGCGGTGATGAAGAAGGATTTCCGAGTCCATCCATGTGAAATTGATGTGAACTGCTGCTGCTGCTGCTGCTGCTCCTGCTGCGTGTGGGGTCGTGCGCGGACAAATGCTGGAACCCGGGAACCCGGGAGGATGTCACACTCTACTTGTCCGTTCTTTTGTCGGATAGACGCGTTTGAAGGTATCGGGCAAATAGCGACATATCCTCCCGGGCCCTCGCTGTTATCGGCAGGACAACGACCCCACGCACTCGTGCTGCGGACAAAGGCCGTGACCCGCGGGAGGATGTCACTTCTTTGTGCTTGTTGTCTGATCTGTGTTTTTGTCGGATGCATTTTCTCCGATGTCGAGCATCAACAACGAGGATGGAACCTACTTGCGTGGCATGTTCCACGAACGTTCCTTGTGAACAACCTCCTGGTTCCCGGGACTGTATAGCCAATCATCCAATCATGTAGGCGCAAGTGCATGGCATGACAGGAGTACTACAACTACTGCTGTAGATGATGGGACCTCATGAGAGCCCATGAGAGCTCGTAACTCTCATGAGAGCAGAATAGAGCTCATGAGAGCTCATTTAGCTCTCATGGGAGCTAACAGGTACTGACACTATTGGGATCCCACGTGGGACGTCCCATGGGACACGTGGGCCGGCCCATGGGACACGCGGGCCGGCCCATGGGACACGTGGGACATCCCACCTGTCCCATGGGATGGCCCATACGGCCGCACGGGACACGTGGGACGTCCCTGTTTGTCGGCCGTACTCCGCGTACTTATCGGGTATTGTTTGTGTAGTGTATTAACTTCAGACGGTGAGGCAACGCCCGTACCCAGGGCGGTGTCGTGCTCAGAAAGGAGGAGTGGCAGCAGGGCTGCTGCACACAACAAAAGGGGGCCCCGGTGCATCATCACCGTACCCCTACCTAAAAGGTTCTACACCATCTGCGTCACACTTACTTGTACGTACGGCTAACATACCGTAGGTTGCATAAGATATCACACTTTCATTAGATACCACACCCCCTCAGAAAACGTACACAATACCACACCCGTGTGCTATTTTTTTCAGCCCCCCAAAAAACGTCATTTTATCACACGGTGACATAAGATACCACACCCCCTGAAGTTGGGCCGCGTTAAATCGACGGAGCCCCTGCTTATCACACGGTGTGACAACGTGAGGACAGAGATCACGACCACACCACCTGCTCGCAAGAGCCATGGAGGCGGACAATGTCGTGGAGGGTGGTGCAGTTAGCAACCCTGCTGAAAGCCCCGCGGCTCAGACTGCAGTGGGTAAGACTCCAGCGGCGGCCCCACGCTCCATATAGCGTCCTTCTTTCCACCCGCCCCGGGGGAACGTGGGGCTGCTCGGACGACTCCCTCAGCAGTCGCACATGACACCGCACGTACTGCTGAGGCCCGCTCAATAGAATCTACTGCTACTGAGACTCCCACAGCACCGGCTGCGCCTGCCACCGCGGGTGCCGCTGAAACCTGCGAAGCAAAACCTACTGCTGAGAATCCCGCAGCACCCACACCCACACCCACACCCGAAAAGGCAGCTCTCCCGCCAACCACCAACACCCTGAGCGCGGCTACTGCTGAGAACCCTGCAGCAGCACCGCGCTGCGTCGAACCATCGTGCACCAACAAGCCTTTGTGGGCAGAGCCAGGGAAGGATATGCCGGAGTTTGCGGCAGGCATGCGAGTCTGGCGACGTCTACATCAAAATAAGGTGTGCGCAGAGCGTCTTGCAGTTTGCAGCACATGGGTGTTTGTGAGGATTCTCATGGCTCAAGCAAACCAAAGAACATGCCACGCCTGATTGCCTGATCGATAACCAGATCGAAAAAATAATGTGATTTTGACGTGTCGTCGCGCTCGCCTCACTGTACATTGGCATGTACACACTACATTTACATGTAGTTCAAATATTCTGGTGTGGGCGAAATGTTTGCTGGATTGTGTTTTTCACACACACGACACGTTTCCGCATACCGTTTTTTGTGTTCGTGATGTTTCGGTAGGCAGACTGCGAAACCCGTACCCAACACGTGCAAATATGTAAACATAACCTCGACAGCAGTTCGTGCCTGTTTGTGTGAGATACGAAATAGGTGCCGTCAGCTGCTCACCCTCTGTACCTTGCAAGCGTGGACGCCATGACTCTCAACCTGGTGGCCGTTGTCAGAGCTATCCGCTAGCCATCGTATTTTTGGTACGTTTGCCTGATGGTCGTTGGAGCGAGCGCATTGTTACAGATACTGCACTTAACGACACGTACGCTACATGATTTGTTGCTTCCTCGAACTCATGCGCTTTTCAGGAATGTGCACCTGCCTGAAGCACCGACGACAGCAGACGCAGCGGCGCCCGTCGGCGACGCCATGTTTCCTGGAGAGTCAGAGGAGTGGACAGATGGTTTCGGTGGGCGTCTCGACGGCACGCCGGCCGAGGACAAGGGCAAGGGCAAGAGGAAAAGAGAGCCGCTGGAATTGGAGCCACCAAACTTCCCTATTAAGTTTGGTGGTGGCCAGAAACGCAAGCGGTACGATTTGGAATTCAAAGTAAACGCCATTAAGTACGCGACCATGCAAAGCCCGGGGGCGCAGGGGCCTAATGGAACCATCGGTGTGTCGTATGCGCAACGAGTGCTTGGGATTCCCGAGAAGATCACACTCTCTGCGTGGATAAAAGACAGAACAAAGTACGAGAAGCAGCTGGAACAGGCAGACCAGCTCGGGGCCAAACGCAAGAAAAAAGCCCGGAGCGTGAAGTCGTTCATCACGGGGAGGGTTAGGTCAAACGCTGAGGCCGAGCTCGAACTTCTCGACTGGATCAACGATGTTCGTTCGGAAGCCATCTCTGCCCGCGTCTCTACAAGGATGATCAAGAACAAGGCGGTATCGATCAACTCGCTTTGGTTCGGCCCGAGGCCTGCAGCGAACGACCTGGAGGGCATTAGAAAGTACCGCAACAAGCAGACTCGCTGGTGCAGGAGGTTCCTTAGGAAGAACCGGTTGTCATTCCGGGCGGTTGCCAGGCAAGGCCAGAAACTCCCTTCCGGGTGGCCTGCGATTGCCATGAAAGCCGTCAAGGAATGGAGGGCACTTCGTCACGGAGGAATCGACGGTGGGGGAGGACGGAGCATGGCGGGGGCAACGAGCAGTGCGCCTTCGAAGCCACGTCTGTGTTCAAGGAGGAGCAGAGCTACAGCATGGATGAAACTGCTGTGTGGATGGAGCCCGCTGGCACGTCGACCGTGGCGGTGAGTTCAATAGTGTTGGTTCGAGTCATGTGCCTGTCTGGTCGTTTCTTGGCATTCCGTGCAAACAGTGGGCATTGTGATGCAATATTTTTTGCCGTACCTACTCAGTGTCCAGCCAGTAAGGCTAGACGACGTTGGTATTGTGCTTATGCCGGGTCAGAAGTTTCTTACCATTCGCATCCATCATCGCTGTACTGCAAAACCCATACGTTACTTTGTGCGTGAAGAGCTGTCATTCTCATCTACAAAATCGACTTTTTTCGTCGCCTCTGCTTTCTCTATTGCTTTTTGCTTTTTTATTTTTGTCGTTCGCAGCACACCGGTCAGAAAGAAGTGGCCATCAAAACCGGTGGAAAGGAAAAGTTGCGGATCACTGCCGTGCTTGCAGCAAACATGAAGGGCGGCAAACTCCCGCCGCTGCTCATCTTCAAGGGTAAGCCTACGGCGCCGGGCAAAACCCCCGCTGCCAACAGCATCGAACGAGAGTTCAAGGTGGGCAAGGACAAGAAGGGGATAGCATACCCTCAGAGCGTTGTGTACGCCGTGGACGACAAGGCGTGGCACACGCAGCGCGTCTTCAGGGATGTTTGGCTCCCCCAAGTGTGGAACCGGCGCCCGGGTCGCGAGGGGGTCCTGGGCAACTACCGTCAGCCGGACACGCTGCTATCATGGGATGATTACACCGTGCACAAGACAGCCCTGTGCAAGGAAGCGATGGACAAGTCCAACACGACGCTGTTTTTTGTCCCCGGAGGCCTAACGCCCAAGATCCAGCCTTGCGATGCACTTATGAACAAGCTGTTCAAGTCCAACATGTCCAGGCTCTACGATGACCCCATGGCCTCCACCGACGCCGTGCGCAACGACCGCGGCTACCCGGATCCCCCATCGAGGGGATTGCTCGCGCAGTGGGTGAAGAAAGCGTGGGATGAAGTGGACCCTGAGAGCATCCGTTCGAGCTGGAGGAAGGCTGGCATGACCCTTGCCTTCGACGGATCTGAGGACGAGGCGTGGGCCAACAAGGAGCTCAACTCCGACGCCCAAGGGAAACCACTTCGTGCAGACGGCGACGCGGCCGCTGCCGGCGTGGAGGAGGCTGGCCCATCGGAGGAGGGGGAGACGATGGCCGACTTGTTGGAGGTGTTGGAAATCGACGACGATGACAGCTCGGGAGATGGCGAAGGCAACGATGACTCGGAGGTTGAGGTCATGGCAGACTTGCCGGGGGCGGACGTTGTTTGCATAGACTGAGGTGTCTTGTCTGGTATCTACCTACCGTAGTTGCATGCCATGGTCAAGTCAACCAAAGCTGCTATTCGAGCCAATTTATCCTGGGTTTCATATGTTTCGGTAGTCGCTTGTCCTCTTGGTTTCTAGCTTTGGTTGATATGTAGCTGGCACTTGCTTGCGTCCTATGTGGTTCCAGCTTGAGTGGTGAACGCAAGTCTTGCAAGTGGTTGCGTCGTCCAGATACCTGTGTGCTGTCGTTTTGTCGCACACAACATTGGCACAACCGCTATGAGGTATCGGTTCTACGTCTTCGTTGTGTACCTATGCGAAGAATTTCCAAAGGATACTGCGAAAATGCACGTGGGAAAGCATGTACGTGATGGAGTGGTGTGAGCCATCCTAGCTATCACACCTGTTTTACACCCCTTGACGCCCTTTGTACGTGGGTGCCTCCTGTAAGCGCACCGCATCACTCGAGCGACATTATTGTCACACCCCCGTAGGTAGGGTCTTGTGGGCGCACTGCAACAA